TGGGGGGGGGGGGGGGAGAGGTTTTTGCTATAGGGCACGTGCGTTTGCCAGACAGACAGAAGGTGAGAAATCACCCCCAGGGGGGATGGCCACACCGCAATCCCTTCTCCTCCATTTTCCTCTCGGGATCTTGGGCACACACGCACATGCGCCCAGCGTGAGTTTAAGCCTCCGGGTCCGGGACTTGAACCGCGGTCGACTACTTGGGAGTCCAGCGACATAGCCATTACACTAACTGCTGTTCCCAAGTCCTTTTGAACATGCCCTTTGATAGAAGCTGGGGCAACATAGATAGTAAGGAAACAGTATTTTCCCCCAAGTAGGAAAGAGAAGTAACTGTCCAGCTGGTTGACTGCCTGAGGTCCTTTACACATACTGTTTTGCACTGCCTGGAACTCTCTTCACACACGTCTTTTCATGTCTGATTCTTGAAATTTGTGTTTAAAAGGCCCTTCACATACTGCCTCTTCCTTTCAACCCCTTTATCCTTTGCTTTATCTTCATATCTTGCATTGTAACAAGGCAGAAAATAGACAAAGGTGACTCCATTATGTACTACCCTCCTGAAAGCACTGCCGTTTTGAAACCCTAGGCCCTGTTAAAATTTTTCTAATTGAATAGGAATGTCTTGCTCTCAGAGTAGGAAAGTTCTCCTCTCCCCTCCTATAGATGTTCTTGCAATAACCTCAATAATTGCTTAATGCTTAATTTAGCTCCTATAACCTACTGTACAGTCCTCCCCTTTCAGGAATGGGATACGGTTTTTGCCTTTAAAAGCCCCTTCCCCCCTTTGGGGTGTGGAGAGACATGAGTCCTCTTGGAGCCGCTGGCTTTAAATAAAGACTCCTTGAATTTTGCCTTAAATATAGTATCTCCTTCAATCTTGCTGCATATATCGTAACATTTGGAGGCTCCAGCAAGATCGCACTTCCTGGCACTTGGTGGAGGCACCTGGGGGAAGGCCTCCCCAGTTTGGCCACCCAATACCTAGGAGTCTCTAAGGGACGCACCACCGGAGAAGTTCCAGAGCCTCAGAGTTTCCTCCAAAGGTCTTTGATGGCTGAATCTGGGGTGCCGACCATCCCAGTCAAATTCTCGTACGGAATCTCGGGAAGACACCCACAGGAGTGAATGTCCTTGATCTAGGGACCAGTCATCTTAGTCCGGGAAAGACTGGATATAGTCACAATTTCCCTATTTCTTTTCTTTGTCTATCGGCCCATTCTGTCTCTTCTGTCGTTTTTCTCTCTTTCTTTGAGCTCTTAAATATTTGGTTCCATCCCACATGTCTGATGATCCTGGGTCTCAACTAGTGGGTCATTGACCTTTCTTGTCAGGGTTCCATTTGTCGTTTCTCTCCATCTGGGATGGTCTCTGTATCTTCTTTCTCTTCATCATCCTCTTTGGGCATGCAACCTCTTGTGTGACTAATGAATGTGTGGATGAATGTGTTTGTGGCTCCACGGCTGCCGCTATGGAGCATGAGTGGGCTCTACCCTGACAGTCACAGTGACCTCATATGACTCAGGGCAGTACAGAGACCTGGACAATCATTTCATTCCCTGCAGTCCCAGTCCAAGCAGAGGGATTATATCTGGCTGCCAAAGGCAAGGGGTACTCAACAGTCCCTGCTATGGACACAGCTGGGTGAGCGCTTGCATGGTCCTCTTGGAGGAGGCACCCACTCCTTATCTGTCTTGCTCATCATTCCTGGGTGGGACTCCATGACCGGGAGGCCCCTCTGCCCAAAAGGCTAGATCCTCATTTCTTTGAAAAACTCTCAGATACTGTCTTGGGAAAGGAGGTCGTAGGCCACCTCAGGTGACTGCGCCCCTGGTCCAATGAGTACTTTGTCGGTACTCTCACTGGTTTGGCAATGAAGAGTCGTTCTTGCATCTGGACCTTTGTCTTCTCCTTTCCTCCACTTTTTCTGCCATCAGCCGACTTTCCCTCTAGACTCAAGCAATGGACTTTTAGAGTACCAGGAGGATTTTTCTAGAGGCCCCACTCTATTACTTCTACTTTACTTCCATTATGAAACAAGCCATTGGACCTGCCTTTCCCTTATGACGGAGCTTGACCCACAAACCCATGTCTCCTGGGTTGTTTGTGCCTATTAATTCAAAATGGCTAGTGCCTTATCACTGCAGCTTCCCAATTGAGGAGACCTGGGACACCCCCCACACATACACGCACACAGTTTGAACCCAGTCCCCTTTATGATTTGACCCTCCTCCAGCCTGTTCTTCAGTGTGCCATCTGGGAACTCCATGCCCTAGACAATTGGTGATTTGAAAAGCGATGGGCCTCCTGCCAAGGAGGACACACTTCAAGGTCACCCAGGCCCTGAGTCTGTCCTTAACCTTAGCGATATGGGAGGATGGGTCAGTTCTTCTAAGACCCCCCTTGGAATGTATGATCAAACATTTTAGGCAATTTTGTTTTTGTTTTTAAGAATTATTTAACATTTATTTATTTTAATTTGACCAGAGAGGGACAAGGAAAAAGCTAGCTGCCAGGTCCAGGATTCAAACTGTGGTCAGCCATGTGAAATTCCAGCACCCTTAACCACCACACTACCTGCCGGCCTCAGGGAGACCTTGAAAGAGAGATGCAATTATAAAGTCAGATTATCTAAATCTAAGTTGACTTTTTATGAGCTTGACTGGCCTACTTTTGAGGTAGGATGGCGCTCTATGGGAGCTTTTGACCCAGTAGTGGTGCAGGCCGTTTGAAACGTCATTACAAAAAAGATAGGGCATCCTGGATTGATTCCCTTACACAGATCAGTGGCTAGCCTTGGTCCGACATCCCCT